CAGCAACATATCAATTTCTTGGTACTATTAGATTAAGCACAATCTAAGTATTCAGAACATTATCTGAAGAATGCCTGTATCCTCAATTTTGCCCAGCAACATATCAATTTCTTGGTACCATTAGATTAAGCACAATCTAAGCATTCAGAACATTATATATGTTGCCGAGGGATTTTGTTTAGTTGAAGCGATATGGATGGATTTCTGAAGATATATCACCTCTGTATTGATCATCAATAAGAGATAGATATTTGATAAGAGATTGATATTGCACACTAAGGATAAATATAAAAATCGTGAATATCTTTATTCACGACAGCGAGGAAATCATACTTCTGGTATGAAAGACGACACATGACAACCATGAGCGATCCATACGATCTCAGTTCATCGTACAACAAAAGATTGCGGCGCGACTTACCTAATAAAAGGAAAGGTACGTTTTATGTTATAAGCGTGATAGAGTAACATAATTCACAAAGTATGACGCTTATGGATTGATAGTCGTTTCATGGAATTGGTCACTATTGGAATGCTCAGATGGTCAGTCGCTCAAGGTAATATTCAAGGGGTTTTGATATTTGCTACTCAAGATAAGCTCGATCCGAGGTTTTGGCTGCAGATGCGACGTTCAGTACAGCGCGGCGAGACTTTCATCAAGTGTTCACTGTGCAAGGTTCGACGTTGTTCATTGCAGTCATAATTTTCCGGTAATGACAATAAATAGGTAATTAAGCTCTTCTCTGCGGATATGTAATGCGACGATATGCGAGTGGGTCCCGTAGTTCATGCGTTAATGGAGGACAAAACCAGAAGCGCTCATACCGTAGTGTTTGATGCAATGGTTGCCACGATCTTCAGACTGAGAGCGGAATCTGATGGAACTTTTCGTGCGCTTTAAACTTTCTCATTGCGTATGATTTGTCATGATTTGCTCCCCGAATTTTTCGTGGGGACCCCTCCACTCCCGTCCATTTTTCTCCCCGCGGGGTCCCCCCCCCGTGCGAAAAACTGCTCCCCGACGAACACTAGTCTCATTGCGTATGATTCGTCATGAAATTTGGTTTGCACTATCTCAAATAGTGTTCGTCGGGGAACGGGCTCCCCGTCGGGGACCCTGGCGGGGAACGTGCGGAGCACTCCCACACCCATCGTTCATCTCTTCTTTCTCTCTCCATCGCAAGCACATCCCTTTCTGTGTCTGTTACGTGCTCTCTTATGCTTCCAGAGGTGTGAAAACTGCTTTGGTGCACGCCCATTGTCATGTTCGACCCACACCCCTTTACCATTTCTACCCGTTTGAACGAATGCGCGATTTGACATTAGCGATAATTTAAAGAATGTCATTTTCTCATTGATTTGAGCGTCACGATGGATGAAGAGAAAGGCTCATGGAACCGTTTGGATTTGCTCATTTGCGACGTCAGTATGTTCAAACAGAACCAGTGTCATGGCCGTTGTCTGACAGGGAGATAGAACGACTTAAGAAATGCGTCACTGATGAAGACCACAGGTACCGGAGGATTTTGTTTGATTATTAAATCACCTTTGAACTTTCATCATTCAGTGATTTTTCCTACCTTTTGTACGCTCTTCGTTGAGTCATTTAGTTTCAAGCAGATTGGATCATGCGAGTGCCAGAATTTCTTGAATGCATTTGGCAATTAATTAAATCATCAAGTTTGTCGAAGTTTCTGGTCGCTTTTTCTAATCCGCGAGGATGTATCAGTGAAATCTCATGAAATTGAATTTTGAATTCGTTTATTTTTCTGAAAAGTTATGCAATCCCTGAATAATTTTGAATTTTATACTTCTTAAGTGTCATGCTATTTACATGTTACCTCCATTGGCATCACTGTGCACAAATGGGTGATATATTATTATGTGATTGTAGATTTCATCAGATAAGTTTTTATTGAAAGAAACGAGTTCCAGCATAACAAGGACCGTATCGGCAGCCTTCAATAACCTCTATTATCCAGTTAATACTCCATCATGTCAATACCAAAAGCAGTTGATAATCGAGTCGTTGTTCTACAATTTACTTATCGCTCTTCCGAAAGAGTTCGATTCATTTTTCGTTGCCTCAGTGGTCATGATTAATTTTCGACGGTTGGTGAATTTCTCCTTATTTATTCATCTTTTGGTATTGGCTAAAAATTCAGTTTCGTTCCTTTTTCGACGAACCGTTTGATTGCATCAGTGTTAATCATTTTTGAAGTTGCGCTTTTCGAAAGGGTATTCCTCGTTGATTACGTGTGATATACAAACTATATTTAAATATCATATGAGCATAATGAGAAGTTGTTTAGATGGTTTCCTCAGAAAAAAGTTGTTTACATTGGTGTAACATTAGAAATGATTCGGAATATGGTTTGCGTGTTCATGGATATAACTGGATGTGATAGAAGGGATATTTGTGTTTATGGTGATCAGAAGAAGTCTGATCGATTTGCGGAATGGAACAATTGTGGGATTGTTTTTGCAACGGCTGAGGTGAGTGTTGTGCCATTATCATGCAACTGCAGATGTGTTGTATTGATGCATATTACTCACAGCAATATCGATTCTGATAATAATATTTGTAACATATTCATAATGACAATGTTCGTTCAAAAATAGTAAGATCACCATGAAGTTAGTGACAGTAGCGATTATACTCAGAAAAGGGACTGTGTTTAAGTTGAATTTTGATTCGATTGAATAAGAATGCATCCATTTATGAATAATGATGAAATCCTCAAATTTTTATGATTCTGAAATTGTGATGGAATTAAGTATTGTTGACCTCAGATAGTGCTGTCGGATGTGAAAGAAGGAATAGATGGCGCGGAGGTAAGTTTATTAGTTGTTGATGAGGCACAACGAGCCATGATTGGCTCTCATCCGGTATGCGAGCTGGTTCGCTCCTTTATTCTGAGTAAGGTCAGTTTCGATTGTCAATCTCTCATAAACACAGTTCCAAATATTTTTATGTTTGAACATCGCAACGTCTAAGACGCATATCAAAATAATTCAGTGCTTTCAAGTGTTTTGCACTACTGATACTTATTGACAATGAATGCGGGCTCAGGTCAAATGCTAATGGTATGTCATTTTGATTTCAAGGGTAAATTTCGAATATTGGCATTAACGGATCATCGCATAATGAAAGTGCCATCGTTACAATTGATTGTTATGAACTTACAAATTGGTTTGATAAGATCTCAATGTTCGTTCAAAAATGCTATTTTATATACGATATGCTCACCATTGATGCGTGATATTTACGTATCAATAACACCTGAAATGGGATCTATTGCTGATGCTCTGATTGAGGTATGTTAATTGTTGTTGTTTGCGCTCGATTGAACACGAACTTGAACAGATTCAAATTTCAATTCGCATATAACTCATGTTCACACCGTTTGTTCATAGGTATTCACGGGTGTACAACCTTTACAAAGCATCACTCATACATAAAGCAAGTAGATGAAAACTCTAACAAGTGATATTTTGTGTAGACCTGAATAAATATAATGATCATCTCAACCTTTAAGTGAGCCTGATTCAAGTTGGGAATCTTCTCCTTTTGAATTGTGATCCAAATAAGGTTGCATTTATTTGAATATGAACTTGTTTATTGTATACTGCTCATTTATTACAATATAATTATGATAATAGTGCTAATAATATAGACAATGACATTAATAATAATATTGCTTTATCAGGCGATATCTCGATTGATTTCAATCATGAGTGAAGGAGATGTGCTTCCGAGTGGTTCATTACAACAGTTAGCAAATTATTCGTTGAGGTCGTTGCGGAAGACTGTTGAATTACGAATGCCGCATTTGTTGGATATTTTTAAGGATGCTGAGAATTTATTCATTATATATGATTCACTGATGTGTGATGGTATAACTGCTTTTGCATGTGCTGTACAATGTAGGTGGACAGTGGAAATTTTATTTGGTTTTGCAGTTGGTTCCGATTAGTGTGACGCTTTGTTCAAAAGATTATTTAAATTTCGCCGTGAATCCAATCAATTTATCTAAACGTTTTCGTGAATTTTAGGGAATACTTCATGCAATTTATATTACAGTGCTAATCGTTCACATCATATTTGCTATATTACATACCAACTGAATTTCAGCGATAATTACTCAAAGTGCCACGATCGAGCATATAATTGAGTCGAATGTCCATCTGAAGGAAGCATTCTTAAGACGCGATCTATCAAAAACCAATGAATTGTGTTCGCATAAATCAACGAGTCTGTTGAAGATCATCGAAAATGCGCTGCATAAATACAGTAATTTATATTCATCTTCTCTCGTATGTGATGTTCAAATTTTCGAAACCTTCACCACATGATCCTTATGTCAACGTCTCGTAATCATCGCTTACCTGTTCTTAACTTTACTAATTTATTTCTTCAACGAGTTCCACTTCTTCCCGTCTCGATTGGTTGGTCAACAACAAAACGTTGTTTCTCTGATTCGAATTCGAATGCTTCTTTGTAAATTCTATATGCAACTTTTTAAAATTTGCAACCATTCCCTCCATTGACTCTGAAAAAGTGAACGTGAGTTGGAAAGGACATTGATTTTTTCGAAATTACGTGATCGAACTGAGCTGGCCGTAATTGCAATACTTCGCGCTTATATTTTGAGGAGCGGATCTGATGCGAGGCCAAAAGTTGGTTGTTGTTTTATTGTGTCGTAATCGAGGAACTTCGTATAACGCGGCAGTCGTTGCAATACTCAAGAAACATTTCGCACAGACGCGAGTGAAAATCAATGCAATCGTTTATGAACGACGTTCGTTCTTAATCTTTTCTTCCATTCATCTCAATTTTTCATAATTCTCAATACTGTAAATTCGTTTCTGTTCACAATCTACTTATACGCGAGTTGGATTGATATCACTATTCGAATTTCGGTTAATGACTGCAACAAAAATAAATTAACCAAAATTCAGGTACGAGGGCTGTACAAAGCTTTTCGGAACGCTCATTGTTGGTAAGTTCCAGTAGAAGTTTATCATCTTTATCTCTTAAGAAGTTTAAGTTAATGGTTGCCTTTAATAGAGAGGAATTTATCATAACAACATGGTGAGCCTTATTGTAGGCAGGCGTGTGTACGGTTATTGTCTGTCCTTGTGATTCCCAACCTATAGAACTGAATGTTGGGTATGTGGATCTTCTTGTTTGTATGGATGAAGGGTATGCGATTTCAGTTCTTTGCAGTCTTTGACCCAGTCGTTATTTTTCACTGAAAACCTTGATGTTTCATATAAATATAAATGTCTCTATAATTTTTGGAAACAGCGAAAGAATAATTTAACGGTTTTGAGTAAATCTTTTGATAGCAATAAGTTACCAACCAATTCGAACGTAATTTGCAGACTTTCGTCATTGTATTACACGAGCAAAATAAATATGAGTAACGATGCCGAATTATACGCAATACGAACGAATGCATACGAAACCGTTCGTGTTTATCTGAGAATTTTTATCTTTTAAACCACCATTTTTCATATGAATAATAATGTCAGCTTTTGAACTTCTATGAAATGTCTGTTGAAAAGCGATGAACAATTGCAGAATATTCGTCCGTTAACGTCTGAAGCAAGCTGTAAAGAGTGTGTTGATGAGAGAACTATGAGGGGCGTTCAATTATGCACTGATAATCCACAACTTTTTCATCGTATTCAAATCCCGAAAATAATCGAATTTTGGTCAACAAAAAGTGATGAAAAGTAATCATTTGACTTGGTTCTCTTCTATTTATTGTATTAATTGATCAAATACATTGTTTAATAATCGAATTTCATGGCTTTCAGTGCATAAAATC